TAAATATATTTTTCAGTCTTTTTGTCATTCTTCTAGCAGAATAAACAACTATGATGGTGAAATAAGCTTTGAACTACATGCGTGCTGCTCGTCGTTAACAGCTGGAGTTTTAGCACAATTATCTCAAAAAGACTAAGTAGTCTAGCTTTTAATGATTACCATTTTTTTTTTACCACAACATGAAAAGTTTCTTAAGAAGTTGAATTAGCCTTTTTTAGCCAACTAAAGAGCTGTGCTCTTGATGATCCATACAGTTGGAGAAACATTGAAAACTGTCTTTAAGGCTTTAGAGGAACACACATGGGGAGCAACATTAATAAACCTCAATTAGCTAACTGCAGTTCTTGTATCAAGTAGTCAATGGTCCTGCATAACAAATTTAGGAAAGTTCCTACATTTTTTTTGTATTTTTCCATGTGATAAAGAATGATTTTCTTTATGATAATAACTTTTTGAAACCTTCCCTTAAGAAACTGGTATCCATAAGCCTTTTTCTGCTGATGTAAATTGGCCAGTGCTTTCGTTTTCTAGGCAAGATAATTATTTGGATAAATGGGACCAAAGGTACCCACTAACTTTTTACAATTTTTTAAAAAACAAAACAAAAATAACATCTATTTGCAAAATATCCATATTATGTTTTCCCTCAAGTTACTCTAGACAGTTTATTCTATAATAAAAAAACTAATTAAGAATCATATATAAATAAAACTATATTTTCGTTACGGTGAAAGTAAAGACTTTTTGCTTTTTCACATTTTCACCTTTAAATCATTTGACTAAAGCCAGTAGTGACTCTGGGAAATTGTCCATCCATTAAAGCTGCTCATAACAGTAATTAAGGCGTCTGATCTCTCTCAGACCTGAATAGAGCGTCTGATTATTATTAACTACCAGAATCCTGCAATGTGTGCAGTCACAAGGTCTGGTTGATCCATCAGGTCAAGGTCTGCTACTATTTCAACACTTTGACTTGAAAGGAATTGAAATCTCCATAAAACTACCACCTAGGTAAAAGTTCTCCAAATAAAGAGCAGCATACAAGTGTTTTTTTAGGTTTCGTAACAAGGAGGCCTTTTAATAGTTGAACTTGATCACCTCCCATACGTTTCTAATCCACACAGGGCCAATCACAACGGAAATGCCCCTGGATACCCCACCCCCACTCGCTTGCAGCAGCAGCAGTGTTTCTCTCCACTGGAAACACTGGTGCGAAGGGGCAGTACCGGTCAGAGGAAGGATACCATATGCCAGATTGGACCAAAGAGATTAGCAAGGCATTTTTTTTTTCTTTCCTAAGGTGATTGGCCCACGCTGGGTTGCGGGTGTGATGAGGGCAAAAGAAATCTCTCCTAAGACGGTGCCACGTTCTGCAATTCAGCAGCTGACACTTTCTTTTATCTGCCAACAACAAGCCACAGACTGGAGAACTACTTCTGTTGCAACATACGAACCAAAAGGTCGCTTTCTTCATCCCATTCCTGGTTTTACACTTCCACATTTACCTTCAGTCTCTGACAACACTTCCGTTAAAGGAGCTCTTTTATAACTTTATTCTAGTGAAGTCACAATGACACAGTCAATAAAGCGAAATCAAATAGTCCCAAAAAGGTCTGTTATTTGAGATTTTTATGACAATGGGGGTAGGGGGGGTGACACTTGACGTAATTCTTTAGACAAAACCAGAATATCTCCACTGAGAGCAGCTGTAATTCCTCTCTGAATGTTGAAGGTCATTAAGACAAAGAAGTAGACATGCCTTTAAAACAAAACCTGCTTCCTGTGGCTGCCCTCTCCCACCCCGTGCTTCTTGGTGAGAAACTTTAACACTGGCCACAAACCAAATGCCAAAATGCCAAACAGTTTTGGATGTGGCTGTGAGATTTGACAGCTTTGTGTAACTATGCCAATTCTCCAGAGAGAAAGAGATGGAGAGAGAGAGAAAAAAAAATACAGTAGAGGGACCTCTTGAACTGTTTTTGGAATGAGAAGACTGCTGACCCACTTAATGTTGGCTGACGCCACACAGGGAAACACTCAGCTATTATACACAGCGGATATTTCCACTACTACGCTGTTGTGGCTCAGAGGGAAGAGTCCTCCGTTCCCAAATGTTTTGACTTCTCAGCATTCGTAATACGCCGCTAAAAACTAACAGCCAAACAAGAGGATGAAGAGTTACAACCAAATCTGTGAGGAACAAGAAAAAAAAAGTGTAGCCAGGCTTTTAAGAGATTAAAATTTTGCAGTTGTGTTCATTTACTTTATATCTAAACTACTGTTTAATTTGTTCCTATCTCTCCATCGACTCATTTATTATCTCAAACATAAGCTGGCTTTAACATTCATCCATTAAAGGCAACCATAGGTCATTTTTGTTACAGACAGGCCAGGCTTTGTTTAAATACATGGCGGTGGGTGCAGCCATATGCTCAGGCTTTTATATCCAGATCAAAGAGCTGTTATACATCCTTACATAAAGCAACTCCTAATAACGGGAACGTGACTCTCAAAATGTTGACTTCTAAATATCCTTTGCACGTCCAAAGTTTTATTAAACTAATACTGCTTCTATTGTTACATACCCTGATATTTATACCAGGGGTTTCCATTGTAGTCCAGCTGTAATCGACCTACCAACAGATTTGATTTAACTGAGTCTTCTTTCGCTAATATCTACCAACAATAAGCATGCTTTCAACTCCATGAGTCACAATTTCTGCCAGTTTGAGGGCTTTTCCAAAAACGACTTTTCAGCCTGAACGTCCCCATAATTCATAACATCAGGGATCGATTAAAAACAAACAAACTGATGATTTATTTCTCACTTCCTACTGATGCAGACCTTTGTTTAAAGAATTTACAACAATTACGTAAAGCAAAAATACCCCGACAATCATCTCTATTTTATTTAGAAGCTTAACAAGATCAAGACTTTTGTTTCAGGAGATATCTTTAATGTTTTATTGCATTTAAAATATGATTGAAGCTAAGTTGAATGCATTTTGTGTTCAAAGAAAATTCTCTGTCATTTTTGAATTGAAGAGAATCAATTCCATGGTAAATAAATGTGGCCTTTTGGGTGAATTAAAAGACTACCGCAAGTCAATTAACTGACATTTATCTTAAGCACTGAACAGGCATAATTGATCAAAAACATGTTATTGAACATTTTGTGGCAACAACCAAAATAAGTCAATGAACCTAACCTAAATGTTTTTAGTTCTTAAAAATAAAGCATGATATAATAAGGCAGGGGCACATTTAGGAAATGTGGGGCCCTAGGCAAAGACAGGCATGGGGCCCTCTGAATTGAGAAGATAACATAAAACAGACCCATTACACAGATACAGAAAGTTTTATAGAACAAACATACATTATTTGTTCTATGTTTCATCCTCTCTTTTCTTGTTGTTTCCTCGATACGTTTTGTACTCAGCTGACTTTTCATGCTGTCCCTAAAGGAATGAAAGATTTTTTTCCAGTGTTTCCAAAAAGGTGATGGCAAAAGTAAATAACACACTTCTTTTTCGCTGTAGAAAGGCCACGATCTGCTTATCTGTCCTCTATTTTTCATTTGGATGAAATAATAGCTACATGAATCATGACAGCAGAGAGGATAGAGCAAAGCAGGAAGCCGGGTTACCAATCTACTTGCTCTGGAGAGCAGAGTTCGGTGCTTTTATATGTTGTTGCTGAAGTCTCCAGTAGCGGAAAAAAGTCGCTCGATTTGGCACTAGCCGCTTTTTAAAAATAAACGTGCTAGAGGCGTCTGAAAAGTCGCTAAATATATCGACAAAGGCAATAAGTTCGCAACATAGCTCTTTGCATCGTTTTCAAATGGTTTTCCGCTTTCTATTTGAACCTTTCTGAACATGTGTAGCAAATGAACACTGAACATTATAAGAATTCTGATGACATTTTAGCGAAAGGATTTTTTTAAAGACATAACTAATGTGCACAAATAAGGAATAGTTGATTTAACCATACATGTTATGGGGCCCTCAGGAAAATGGGGCCCTAGGAAACTGCTTAGTATGGAAAATCCCCCCCCCCCCCCATCCCCAATATGGAACACACATAATCTTTGCTTCATAATTTTAACGCTCTTTCACATGAATGTGTTTTTTTAATCAAACCAGATGAACAGAAATCCAAATCTACCTCAGGTGTGACCCTCAGTGCGACATTTAGAGTAGGCTGGACTCTATGTAAAAGCACGGTGGAGGGTGCAGTCACACACTGGTTCTTTATGGCAGTAAAAGGGCAGATGAATGTACTTATGGAATAGAGTCGTGGAGCGGACGTTTAATGTTGCTCAGATATTTATCGTTCATTATCGTTCAGTAATTTATTCTAAATGAATAGCTTTAGTGACCAGATTTGCTGTGTAATGCTGGTCAGCAGAAATAACTATTTTTATCATTTGATACTATGTTGTAAAACTATAAAACATATGTTGATAATATAAATAATCACATGCGAGGTTAACTAAAATTGATAAGCAAGCAACAGAATCAAAATTCGGACGTTTTCTACAGTCATAAGTATTCGGACGATAACAACAGGACCTTGTTCACTAAAAAACAACAACAGCCTGAATAATTTTAATTACTTTTTTGCCTATAATTTCAATCGAATGCTATCAATAAAAAAACATAAAACCTCGTGTATAATATTTATAAATTATATACTTTTCTGACAAAACATAGCATACGAAATAGTGCCTGTCCACTCAGCGTAGGTAGGTTAACGTATACATACGTTCGATGACTCACAGCAAGCAAATCCATCCGCCGCATTCGCTATAGGTTATTGATCAGTCATTTGATAATGTATCGATTTTATATAGGGGAAAAAATAACTGAGTCTCGTTATTGATAACTGAAACACGTAAATATGTCATATATGAGATAAATTTTTAAAAATGTGAAGCATAGAACTGCAAGACACTGTCTGGAGAACAATATATAAAGCAGAAGGAATAAGTGCAAACTTACCACATCGGCTTCCGTTGTGTTTTCTCACTGTTTGGAGGCGGAAGAAACATTCCTGTTTTCCCCGTCTGCGTTGATCTAAATCCTCCTCTTTAGATCAAAGGAAGTGGGTAGTCAAAAAAAAAAAAAAAGAATAAAATAAATAAAATAACAAGGCACCAAAACTGGTGTGAAATAAGATATGTTTCTTGTGTGTTTATGTCGGCTAAAAAGCAAGAGGTTTCATGTGACCGGCTGCATGAAATCCACGCATTCGGCTCTGAATCGTGTTTTCAGAGTTTCGGAGTCTGCCTCAGACTGAGGGAGAGAGGCGTGGAGACATTCTCCCAGCCTGCACAGTCACATCATTGGTTGACAAACAGCAATCAGATGCAAATTCCTAACCTCTGAATCAGCAGGGGCCAGCCCCCCTGGTTGTAAGAGCGAGGGTGTGAAGTGTTAAAACGGGCCCATAGAGATCTGGCGCTACATAATGCACAGACCCGCTGTACAGTGAGTCTTATCCGCCTTCTGGATTTAACACATGCATACATGCAGTTAAAAGGTATCAATGGCTCAAACACTGTCAATTCAATCTGATAAACGAAAGAACCGTTTGCAAATTTGGTAACAAACCCGCTGGTGGCTTTATTATTACAAGGTTGTTGCATACCAATATGAGGAACATTTGTGGTCAAAAGTCTGCGCCTTACAAAAAGCTTGCATGTCAAATTAATTTATGGTTTTTAACAAAATAAATTTGACAATTTTTATTAAATTGAAAATAAAACATGTCACACACATTACCATAGCCTATGATATATATATATATATATATATATATATATATATATATATATATATATGTAGCTGAGTGAATACTATAATTGTTATACATTTCTCCCATCTCATGCATTTGTGAGACACATAGATTCATAGAACACATGCTTGTTTCTGTTCAGAGAGATTAACTGATGCTGGTAATAAACACTTTTTTCGCTTGTGTTGGTTTAGTGGATTAAAGTTGGATGGTTATCTGGCACAGATTTGGCTTTTCTGATCAATAAACACATTTTTGCCATCAGATTCTCTGGAAGGTCAGCCCCAGAAGCTCAACAGAAGCAGTTTTGGTACCTGTTCATGGTAACATTGAAAAGCACTGTGATCCTCAGGCATTATTGCTACATTCACTTGGTGACACACCGTTGTCAGGAAAACAAGCCCACAGCATTATACTGCCATCACCATTCTTAACACATGGCACGGCGTTATAGGTTTGAAAGCCTCACCTAGACTTCTAAACATAACTATGGCCATTGTGAGCAAATATCTCAGTGCATATAACCTCTGACCATAGAACTTCTCACCTGACTTGTTTTCATATTTCATATTATTATGATTGAGGCTTTGATTTTGAGAAGGCCCTGAGCTTTAATGTTGTTTTATCAAAAAACCAGGCTTGAAATGTTTTAGCTGATGATGAAGAACCGGTGGCAGTCCTGCTCCTTCATTGTTCCATCCAATTTATGCAAAGAAATCCCGCAGCATGATCCACCACCACTTTACTTGACACTTGGTACGGTGTTCTTAGGTTGAATCCGGACTGCAGTCAAAATTATCACCTTTTAGACTCATCGAACATCACAACCTTACTAAATGCTTTTATCCATTTGTGCTTCTTGAAATTTAGATTGTGTGATTAGTTAAAAAAAGTAGGCAGTATTCTCTTGGTTGTCACAGTCGCGTTGTTGTGGACATTAACGCTAGTGCTCCAACAGCTCCCATTTTTTTTGTTTCTATGCATTTTAGCCAAACTATACTTTCATCTAATTCAGGGGTCTGAAACGGTTCTTATCCAAAGAGCCAGCTTACCCTGGGCCCGGCTAAATAAAAGGTTCAGTGCTGCACATGTTACGTGTCCTTTAAATAAAACACAGGGTATCATTATAGTTAAACATCTGCAAAAGGAAATCTGCTGCCATTTCAAATAAAAGTTTGCTTTCTCTTTTGATTTTTTAAAATAGGGACAAAGCATACAAGTTTCATAAAGAGGAAGCAAGGATTTTAGATTTTATTCTATAGGATATTATTTTTTGTAAAAAAAAAAATAAACACATAGTGTTTCAAGCTAATGACAAGAAAAATCAATCTAAAAACATATCCCAGATTCTTTAATCTCACTCTGAAGAAAAAAATACATTTAAATGTTCTTTGAAAAAAACTGCTAAAGCTTATAAGAATAGTATTTGTTACTATACTATATCCAGAACCATTAGTCGGCTCTATATCATTTTTTTTAGCCCTTGTAGAGTGTCCAAGGAGCCACAGGTTGCAGACCCCTGATCTAATATGTGGTTTGTCCTCAACCTGTCAGAGAGCCTCTGAGGCTGATAGAAACATGGACACAACAGCATGTTCCAACAGGACAATAATCCAAAATACACGTCAAAACACTGATGCCAATCTATAAACTAAGCCTTTTAGCTGGATCTGTCCCAAAAGAAACAGCCCATTCAATGACTTTGACCAATTCAAACAGCCCAGTCAAACTATGTAACCAGGGTTATAAGGTAAGTTTGTTTACATCTAATCGGTATAAATATATTCCAGTTTTCTAAAATGTACCAGGATAGTACCCTCTTTGAATCTGCATTGAATTTATACTTGATAACCCACTTTAAAAAACAAGAATGTTGTTCAACCTAAAAGATAATTAAAGCTCTATAATATAGATCCCATTAACAACCATGATGGATGCGGTAATATTTAGAATAGAAGAAGCAGAATAATGGCTTCAATATGAATACCTAAGAACTCCAAGGCAGTTAAAATTTTATTTCCCCCCCCCCCAAAATATATATTTTTGGATGATTTAACAGTCAAAAACAAAGAAAAAAAAAACACCTTTATTAACATAATTAGTATGAAGGGAAATTTCTGCTTTTATTTAATAGAGAAAGAATTAAGTGCCTTAATTATTACAGCATTCATAGATTTCTGATCTGCTCTTTCTACAGACCTAAATATTTTTACCGTATATAAAAAAACTTGTTATCCAAACTGAGGGTTTAATTCCCTCTCTGAAACTTTTGCATCTTAGTCGATTCATTCTTTTTTTTGCCAATTGTCTCTAGTTCGTTGAAAAAGAGGAACCCTGTACTAAATGTGTCTCATATAATACTGATCAGATTCATCTCAATCATTCATGGTTTCATTTTAATTCACAGATCTTTACCGCTGTCATTTTGTGAAGGCGAGGGAAGAGAGGGGAACTCTTTCTTAATCTGTGCTCTGAATGGATGAGTCAGAGTGAGATGGATCTATCGTTAACACTAAACAGAAGATTGTTTGATATTGAGCGACTGTGTCAATTTCTAGCTGAATTTGACAGAGATAAAGGCTTAGCGGAAGAATAAGAGGAAATTCACAGGTGGTGATGTTTGTGTGCTGTCCTTTAAAATGTTGCAAGCTGACAGAAATGGACTGAAAACATCTGTTTAATTCATGAGAAATATAATATGATGGAAAGAAAAACAGGATGTAAGCAAAGCTATATCTCAAAGAGTGAACCCAGTGCTGCAGGACTTGACTGTGGTGTTGCCCCCTTCCCCCTGCAGCTGTCGACTCAAATGAAGAGTTGGAGATATTCATAAGCAGAAAACCAATCCATGGGATGAAACATGATCCAGGATGCATGTGTGTTCATTGCCCCGCTCTCAGTGACAGATGAAATTAAAAATCAAATGGGCCTGTGTAGTGATGACAACTGCAATTTCACACTTGATACCAAAATAATTGAAGATGACTGATGCTTTTCAGCTAAGATGGAGCTCTGCCAGGGTGTGGCCGCAGCTGAAGGATGACACATGCACAGGGACAAAACTGTTCAAATTAACTTGGTGGCAAAGTAATGCATTCCAGGCATGACCTTTCACTTTTAGTACAAGGTGCAATGCTCAGCATGATAAGATTCATCAGTATTAATTATGTGCATTTTGACAAAAACTTCCTCTAAGAAATCATCAGAATAGATTGAATTAAATGTGTTTAGATTCCTTATTTCCAGATACTCAAGATCCACTCTGAGATGCAAATAATGGTCACATTTCTAAATTGTTTGTTTATTACATTTGCTTTTGCACATTTGTGTGTATAGACAAACTGAGTCCTTCAGACAAAAACATAGAAAAGGTGAAAAAAGGAAACAATTTCTGCTGTTCATATCCTGTTTTAGTCTGTTCTTATAATCACTCGACTGTCATAAACATGCTTGTTTGTAGCGTCACCGTGCTGTGTCAGCAAATCAGTGTGTTAAAGATATTTTGGTATCACCATTTTTGCCCTTTTCTGCTTTGGTTGTTGTTTTTAAATCAAATTGTCCCCAAACTGCTGATTTCCCAACTTTCTCATGAAAAACAATTGCTGCAATATACACACTGATCCAATGTGAGTACTGCTTGTAAATGATTTATAACCACCAGTGTATTTTTTTATATCCATTAAAAACATTGGTGTTAAAAAAAAAAAAAAAAAAAAAAACACCTATTACTGACCTGCTGCACAAACTAATCTGGTTCTGTCAACTTTTAGTTGAGTTTTTTGTACAATGGCTCCCTCTAGCGGGGAAATGAGAGAAAGACCATCTGTTTAAATGTGACTTTCTTTAATTAAACTATTAACATATTAACATATATATATATATATATATATATATATATATATATATATATATATATATATATATATATATATATATATATATATATAAAAAATGCGTGGTTAATTGTAAAAATACATTTACATTTGCGCAGTGGGATGCTATTTCTTCCCTGAATGAGTGTTCTGGGAAGCCACTTCGTTCCAAGTCAGCTTTCGACCACCCTCGGTCTGAAAGGATCACTTTAAGGGTTGAAGGGCACTTCCCCCTAGTTCTTATAACTATTGGAAAAACACTAACCTTATACATAAGTGTGCAAAACCATGTGCTAGGGACCAAAAGAGTGCAAGTGAGAGAAATGGGACTGTGCCTAGGAATCCCAAAATTATGATCCTACTAGAACTCCCACTGGCAGTCAAATTGGCAGATGGCATTTTCACTGGTGGAATGCAAGAGTAGTGATGATGTTATCGACTGATTTGGTTCTAGAGTGAAATATAAACCCATTGTGGATAAGAACACCTTAAAACAGATCTAATATATATATATTTTTAAAGGCTGTATTATATCCTATTATTATTTGTGGTCTGAATTTGTATTAAAAACCCATCAGTAAAATAAAATTTTGTTTTACTACATAGGTT